TCGATAAAACATACAATCTAATTACCTTTCAAGATATTGGGTAGCCATCTACTCTTATAAAACATTTTTGCGTGAAAACGATGCCATGGAAACACGTGATGCTTCCATTGTAGCCAAATTTGTAAGGACAAGATTACCTTCGACTATTAAGCTTTATCAAGCTGAGGAATTGTGTTTTTTAATCATTTATAAATTATGATCACGTGTAACACAGTTAAAGAAACTCCAGAGTTATTAAACTGTCTATACAACATTTGTATGCCGCCTATGGTCTCAATAATGATACTCTCGCTTAAGTTGTTTATTGATAAATAGCTGTATGCGTAACAGTGTAAGAAAGAATTAATTATTCGCTCTATACACACCTTTCGTATCAGTAGCCTTTGAGTACTCTGGGCACGCTGCAAGGCAATTAAAACCGGCAATACCTTTGTTGAGACAAAAATTTGCCCAGTTTCCACTGAAGCAGGCATCGCTGAAGATCATTGGGTAGTAACAGCCTTCCGGCATGTTGTCAAATATTTCTTGGATACTGATTGTTCCATCTTCAAAACACCAGTTTCCAGTGCCAATCTCACCATGCCCTGTATAGTACAACATAGGCTTGGCGTTTGTGTCCTTGCATTTTTCAAAAAGCAAGGTGATGTGTCGAAGAGCTGCATGCTTAGTGAGATAAAGATCTTTAACAGTGTTGTACAGCTTTGATCCGACTACATCTTCCATGTTGACTAAATCATGAGCCACACCAGCTAAAAATACACCATTCCTATCTCCTTGTCGGAGAGCTGCGTCCTTGGATAGATAAAGGTCCTTCACAGTGTTGTACAACTTTGCTCCAACCACGTCTTCCATGTGAATTAAGTCATGAGTTATACCTGCTAGAAATTCACCATTCCTTTCTCCTTTTACATCACGAGCCCTTCTCTTTGAAATTCCAATTTCTTTTGGCGGATCTGTGGCACCTGAGAGGAGGAGCCAAAGTGGTTCCTCACTTGTCGGTCTCCACTCGGACCATCGATCGATTCGTCCAACATATGGTCCCTGCGAAATTGCCGAGCCAGCTAATCTAGACATTGTGGGCCTGATAAAAACAAACAAACAAGCAAAATCGTCTTAGAATCTTGCCAGTAGCTACGAACTGACCCCCATTTTGTTTGTACACGGCAGGGGTTATACAGTGCGATACAGGTGTTTAAAAAGTCAGTGTCTGAGATGTCATGATGAATAAGTCGGACATATTTTCCCTTTTATCTAGTCAGAGACTAATTCAAAACATAACGTACGTAACTGCTCCAAAAAAGTAATCAGAAAACTGAATATGTTCGTGAATAATATGAAAGCGAACCAGAAGCTATAGAAACTGATTTCAGATTTGGGGATCTAGAATTGTTTTAGCTGTTTTGTAGGATGGAAGCTGATCATTAAAAAGACAGGCAACGGCGCACTGAAGGTTAACGTCTGCAGTGTATGTGCCTGCGTCAGCTGAAAATGACTAGAATTCGTTGCCAGAAGAACCGAGTTTAATGTGAAAGCGAGACAGTTTTAGACTCCTTTAAAGATCAACATTTTAATAAAATTGTGTGGATATTGTTATATTTTATTATTTTATTTAAAATTGATATTTAAATCAGACCCTGAAGCTGCAAGGATGATACTAATAGAAAAACTTAATGTTCAAAGATTGCACTCAAGTAAACAGCAATTGTTATCACTACACGCAGCCAAGTGACAAACTGCCCTCTCTAAAACGCTCCTTTTCGCGGGCTGTAAATGGAATTTGCAGCCCGCAACATTTGTACGATATTGGCCTTTGTGTATTGATAATAATGATTATCGCATGACTTTTGTCGGGCATATAGTTTATTTGTGTCCCTCGTAGCATGAAATGATGCTACTCGGGCTACAAATTAACTATATGCCCTCCAAATGACAAGTCATTTGATTGGCATACTATACACTCCCACGAGTCCACTGGGCGAGTTACTGCTGGATGGCAAAATATATAAAATGGACTGCTTCATGTTGGTCAATTGTTCATAACGCTTAGTTTTCTTCAAATTTAAAGACCGTAAGAAACAACCCCGGGGGGGGGGGGCACTTGGGTATTTTTCGGGTGGGTATGTGCCGCCCGGGACTCCAAATTGGCACCCCGTTATAAAAAAAATTTCTCCTGAAATTGATACCCCGTTCTAGAAATAGGCCAATTTTTTATACTCCGTTCCAGGGTGCAACAAGAGTATAACAGTTTGCTTGTTAACGCATTGAACCGTATTTTTAAAAGCAATCTGTCCTTGAATAATTTCAAATGGCTGCTTACAAAAGTGGAGCTTTCGTGCGTTCGAAATATTATACCCCTTTCTAGAAATCGCCTCTGAAATGGATACCCCGTTCTAAACCAGGAGCTTCAAAATCACGACCCCGTTGGGCGGCACATACCCGTATAGGTAATGTATGGGAGTGCCCCCCCCCCCGGGGAAACAACGCACCTTGGCACCACAAATATTATAACGCGCCGTCACGAAGGCTAACTTGTTTATTGAACTGTTTGTAAAGACACTTAATAGGCAAAGATTATGGTTAGAAAGGCTCCCCTGGTATGCTCCTTTGATGCGAAACAGTTGGCATTTGTCATGAATTGATGGGTGTGAATTCTTGGAAAGCAAGAAGCATTTGCAATCTTTAACTAACTTGTATATTTTACCTAAGAAGAAGAAGACGCTTAATGTCGTCGGCTGAGGATTTTTGTATATTTGTCGCCCCAATACGTTAAGCTCAGAATGCTAAAAATGCCTCAGCGACCTATGGCAAAGCGAGTTTCGTGTCGCGATATTTTTTTAGTGTCTTCCGTTCTTGGAATCGACCCCGTGACGATCCTCAATATACCAACTCCTTGCACTATTCAAAACTTGCTGGAAATTAACGTCTTAGCAACGTCTTGAATATACAGACAATAATATACAACGATTTAACTGATATACGCGATAGCTGCACATTTAGTCTGCCACTGATGCTCAAATCGGCCTACTTCCATGCATGGTAGCGTTCTTGCCATTAAAACAACTCGCTCGATCGGTCCTCGATGGGTATTTGATCATTTCTACACCACATCATGAAACACACTTGTCTTGTAAAGTTACAAGCAGCAATGAGTCTTCGAACATGTATCACAAATCAGATTGTTAAAAATAACTACTATATTCTAAGCGATTACAGACTTTACATACCTGCTTCGTAGACAAATTACTGTTTCGCAATTTTCAAGGAAGTAACACAGTAATTAGCATGTGTTTATTCAGCCGCGGCGTTTTCCACTCTCAGCTCGAACTTGTTTATTGAGGACAAGGCTATTTAGAGGAAAGTGAAGCAAAATCTGCTTGAAAACCGCTACGAATCGAACCTGAATATATAAACCTGCGAGCGAGGAAGCTAACCTTTTTAACTTTTACGCGACTAGCTTTAGAATTCTCGGAAACCCGGGATGGATGTCACATGGCCTGAATAATCACGATGACATGAATCAGACTCTGACATTCCAAGAAAAAGTGGGGGAAAGGTTATCTGATATCGATAAGTAAATTCTGAAAAATTTTCCATTTAAATTGATGTAAAGAACACGTTAGCAAGGGATATTTTAAAGTGAGACTATCTCCAGAGTGACAAGTGACAAGTGACACTATCTCCAGAGTAGGTATTATAACACTAAGAGTGCAACCATTGCTTGTTTTTCTTCTCCCCCTTTCCTTCTCCTCGCTCTTTCTTTTTCTCCTTTCCTTTTCCTTATTCGTTACTATGATCTTGGAGTTAAGGAACCTGCCTTTTGACGCTTTTTCACTCAAATGACTGCAAATTTCGTTGGGTTGTTTTTCAAAAAATCGGCTACATATACCTTCTCAGTTTCCGTCTCAGTCACACTTACGCAAAGGTCAACCATGTTTAAGTTCGTTGACTTGCATTGTTTTTTTTTTTTTTTTACTTTAAAGTGCCTAGGCTAAAGGTCGGTACACACTAGGCGACAAGTTGCTGCAACACGTCGCGGCGACAAATTACTCCGTGTGTACAGATCGGGCGACTAGTTGCTGCAACAAGGTGTGGCGACACGTCGCAGCGACAAATCGCTTCGTGTGTACTGGAGAATCTTTGTGAAAATATTTGTCTCCGCAACAAAATTTTGTCGCTGCAACAAGTCGCAAAAAATCAAATCAGACTGAATCTGTGCGACTTGTTGCGGCGACAAATTCTGTTGCAGCGACAAAGATTTTCACAAAAATTCTCCTGTACATACGAAGCGATTTGTCGCTGCAACATGTCGCCGCGACATGTTGCTGCAACCTGTCGCCTAGTGTGTACCGACCTTAAAAGGGCCTCGCAACTCTTTAATTTGAAAATCGAGGAACGGACACCAGCCGCTGCATGTTCTCCGCTTAAAGATTAAGTTTCATCCTGGCAGCTTTGAATCATTTTTCCACGTCCACAAAATAATTTCTGTTGAGGCCATCCTGCAGTTGAACCAGTCAGCGTATAATTTCGTTTTGACGCTTTGTCAGATTATAGGACAGATGAGTTTGCCTATGATTTACTTTCGACGTGATCTTTTTGGTCTCTTCGTATAATTAAAGATGCGGAAGAGCTTTCTCCAGCCTTTCTGCGATACATCTCGTTGCTAGTTTGTAATGTGTGTTTAAGAGAGAGATATTATAAGGTTCAGGATTTTAAGAGGCAGAGGGTCCTTAGTCCATTTTTTGAATCAAAGAAATAATTCCTTACCTCTGGGAGATGGGAAGCTATCCCAACAGCGCGCCATGATTGAGAGGGGTTGGAGATCTCATTTCAGGAAGAAATTTCAGGTAGGTAGTCTAAGTAGGTAAGTACTTTATTTGTAAAATTAATATTACAAGAGAAAGACGCTAGCCCCAACATCACTTGCCTGGTTTCCGACACATATGAGAACAGTATATTAAATTACTAAACTGACTCTAAATTTTTTTTATAATACTACTACTACCAGCACCACCAGCACCACCAGCACCACCACCGCAGGTGTCCCACAAAGAAGAACAGTACTCAATATATGGATGAACTAAGCCCGTATAAGACTCGTATAAATTGTTTCTAGAATAGCTACGGGAACAAAATTTTATATGCACCGCAGGCTCCTCCTACCATATCGACATGACAGTCCCAGCTAAGCTTTTCATCTATGTGAACCCTTTGGCACTTATGGAACTAGTTCTCGATACAGGTAGATTATTTACCACAACAAGTTGTTCACTTATCTTATTATTCAGATCATAGAAGGACCCCCCAAAACAAGAGTTTTGATTTAGACTGATGCATTTGAAGTTTATTCGTAATGAGGCACTTTTGGACTTGAGCGGCTGATCACAATTAAGCTTCACGATAAGTTCGTTTGCATCTTAAGAGGAAGCGAAGGTTTGTGTATCATCCGCATACATACATGGAGTGGTCAATATTAGACTGTCAGGCAAATCGTTAATTTATAATAGAAACAACAGAGGCCCTAAGATTGATCCCTGGGGGACTACGCTAGTGATTATTTCCTTAGATGATAGCTGACCGTTGATAATGCATTGCTGTTCCCTTTCCGTTAGGCATGATTTAAACCAGTTCAACTCCATGCCAATGATACCAAAAATGTTCATTATTCATTTTGGTTATCAGGATGTCATGATAAATGGAATCAAACGCTTTCTTGATATCCAGGAATAAGACACCATTCAGTTTACCATCACCCATATTTTCCAGCCATTCATCACACATTTGGATAAGGGCCCTTAATGTCGAGTGATTTGGGCGGATTCCAGACTGAAATTATGAAAGCATGGAGGTTTCGGTTAGATAGCTATAGAGCTGGCGGAAGACCGCTTTTTCAAATGCTTTGCTTACGGTAGGTAATATGGAAATGGAACGGTAGTTTTCACATTACCATCTGTCTCCAGATTTAAAATAGGAGTTACACGAGCACATTTCCATTCATCTATGTAAATGCCTTTTGTGAGGGACAGATTTAAGATGAACGTGAGTGAGTGAGAGAGGGTACAACTTTTTTCAACGATAAAAGTAAATCTTGTGGCTAAAATCATGCAAAGCGCTTATTTGTGTTATTTTTCATGTAAAGCACAAAAGAATAACCTTTTCTCGCAGTTTTAACCTGATTTCTAATCCTTGGTAAAATCCAAGATGGCGACCATTGTTGGGCACTACACCGGCCCCCAGCAGCGCCACCACTCCAAAATATACCTGTTGGCCAGAACCTCTTTAGAACCTCTAATTTGATAGGTTCTTGTTGGCCCGAAAGCCTATTGTTTCAGAATTGGGGTTCATTGTTAGTTTTGTTTGGGTTAGGGCTATCTATTGTTTTCTAAACCAGTCCTGTAAGCCGTCCTTAGAGCTTCCGGCCCACCCAAATATAACTCATCTTGTAGAGAAGATCAAGGGCTTTCCACTGAAGGCAAAATCATTTCAAAATACTGCAAAATATCAAAAAATCTAAATAAAAAAAAAAAAAAGGTAAGTTTGAGAAGTACTGGCCTGCATCTTTCGCATTCACAACAATGACTAAGCGTAATACGGCACATTCTAGAACATCCCTGAGCATTACGCAACAATCCTATCAGTTTTTTTTAATCAAATCCTGGAAATTTAAGCTTCGCAAAACGGAATCCTGATCATTGATATCTGGACTGATTCAGCCCTAGATATCCGGAGTCTCGTTAACGTGACTAGTGAAAAGTTACAGACTTTGCAATCACTTGTATCTGCCCTACTGAAATCAATCGAACTTAATGGTTCCATTGAATTCGGTTGAATCGAACAAAATCGAACACGGAAATCTTTGTGAGTTCGATAATCGAACAAATGCTACATAGTCTGCGAACTGAACCGTTCGAGTTTGTTCGATAACCGAACAAATTGTTGACTTAACTCAAATCTTAGCCTCCATCTACTCTGAGAAAGACTGATACCTGTAGTGAATACAAAGCCATCAATTGAAAGGGGTCTTTCTCCCAATAATTTGTCTTGGCCACCAGACAAGCTGTCCTATTTTTCTTAAATCGGACAGTTTGCTTATTTGTAAAGGAAATTGTAGTCAAGCCCTATCTGAAAATATCCAAATTTATTCTTAATTGGACAGTTCCTAAGTTGTTAAAAGCTTGAGGGATAATCAGCTTTGCTGAAAATATCGTACCAGCTACCAGCTACCAGCTATATAATTACAACAAATTTATCCATTCAAGTATTGATGTATTTACTACACGAGGTAATTGAGAACACTGAGGTTATATTATACACTTAATGTCAGATCCCGAGGGAAACAGTTTTGTTTTCCCGAGAGTCCTCATGTTTCCCGAGACGAAGTCGAGGGAAACATCAGGACTCGAGGGAAAACAAAACTAACTGGTTTCCCGAGGGACCTGACATTAAGTGTTTCGTTATATTTCTTGACTTTCACTTCAACAGCAACAGAAGAATAACCGGAGCGAACCAAAACAGTCGACTCGGTACTTAAAACAACTCAAATTTAATTCTTCAAGCCACTGAATGAATGATTTACAAAGTACTTTTCTTATATTATCTATATATTTTTCTTCCACTAGCTGGTGTTTCTCTACTGGGACGACTTTAAAAATCGTTGCTTTTTAGCTTGAGACTTCGTGTTTGTGCTCAAGTTGTTGTGTTCATTCACGAAAAAGAAAACTGGCCGTGTTTTTCCCGCCTTCTGTCGCACCACTTTCCACCATGTTTTGATGACGTGCTGTAATGTAGCCCAAGCGGGATACATTGCTTAATGTATCACGATCGGGATATATTTGATTTTAGTCAAGGCCACGTGACCAACATTCAACCAATGGCAGTCCCTGTTTAGTTGAGTGAAAGTCTAGGAATATAACAAGAAATAATGTTGAAGGTAAACGGTAAAAAAATCACCTTTTTTGACGTCTGATAGTTCTGAAAGTTAAACTGAAGGTTGAAGCTAACCCTCTTGAGACCCTATATACAATACTAAACTACTGTAACAGTTACGATAAAGTAATTAAAAAACTTAATGTAAGATAATATGCTAAGATTCACTAAAATTTGTAAATTCCGAGTAAAGCCCTTACTAAAATATACTACAAAATTGTGAAAATATTTCTTTGTTATTAAGAGCTACAAACCAACCACACAGGAACTACAAGTATACTGCAACCGCATATCTGGTCCGTAAAAGAACCACAGACTTGGACAAGGACGAGTACTTAAAATAGTTTCACGTTTAACCCCCTGCAACGGAATCTCTTGTAATTAAGTATGGACACTGACTATTACCTGGGTCGAGTTGTTTGAAGCTTGGTTAGCTCTATTCCTAGGTTTACTGTAAAATAGACATGGTATTTTTTATTTAACACTATAGAGATGCAGTAATCATGTCCTGGGGACAACTCTGTCTAAATCAACTATCAACTATCTAAGGATTTCACAGCTGGCAGCAACAAAAAAGAACAACTGCATTAAAAAAACAACAACAACAACAAACTGCGTTCCTCACGAAGAAGACCAAAAGGGAACACTTTAACGTAAAAAAAACCAACCAATAAACAAACAATAGAAAACAAAACAAACAAATGCTAGTTACGCCCCATTCGGTTCGAAACTAAAAAAAAGCACCCTTATCGACATCATGCCGGGCAAAAACAATATACTGGGGGGATATAAGGATAGCACCTCGTCTTGTTTATTTTGCCGGTTAGCTTTCAGTCATAGGAAGAAATTATGCTTTTTTCAGATAGCAACTATAGGATTAATTATTGAAATCAACTCTGAATGAAACCAATAAGAAAAATGAAAACTTTGCAATGTTCTTCCTTTCAAAGAAATTTGATCCAACTGGATTAAACTAAAGGAGTCTACCTTAATTTAAAGTCAGAACGACGTACATAAGCCGATATATTTTCATCCTTAGTCATCACAATTAAAATATTATTGTCAGTTGGATCCTTGAAGATGATAGAAGGATGGAATCCCTGTTTAAATTTCTCAAATTCCCAATCATTCATGGCTTTTTGTTCAGTCGTGTCGAACCAGCTGAAACACTGCGCCCCCATTGAGGCTGTCATCACAACAAAATACAGCTTCAGCCCACTGGAATAACATATTCCAGTGATAGCTTTTCCTTCTTGGTATCCCTCCTGTATTTCAACATTTGTTGATGTCCAGGTACTACAAGTAAACCACTTCTGCCCTTTTCCACGGTATTCCTTAGTGTCTTTTGTCATGACGATGTAAAATCTTGAATCTAGGGCAGCACATGAAGTTATCTTAAGACCGTTATTCCGATGTTTCTTAATATTATCCGTACTTTTTACAATGCATTGTTTCGTGCCGTAGCCTTTCATAAAGAACGCCCCGAACCCAAACTTCTCATCACAGGCAAGGGAGTATATTTCCTTTGATTTCCATACCCCTTTAGTGAACGCAAGAAACTCGTCGTAGTTTCGTCTAATTCCCCAAGTTGTCGCAGGTCTTGGATTGTAAAGTTCTGAACTCGCAAAAATTCCTGAGAAGAAGCCATTATTCATGCTCTGGGAAATCAAAATGTTTTGGCTATTAAAAACATGGCTACTGATAAAATCAGTGTAACTAACTGTCGCATATCCACTGGTGATGGGGAAGTCATGTCTATTTCCGCCACTATACATGGGCTCTGTTCTTGGCCGTAGTTTGTTTCCAGTCATGTACAATGTTAGTTCTCCTCCTTTATCTACAAATAATTTGAAAAGTGCAGAATGTCAGTAGAATAGAACCCCCATATATAACTAACCTCTATATGACGAAGTCATCGATATAAAGAACCCTAACCTTGGGGACGGAAGAAAATGGCCTTTTGTGGAGAGGTGGCCGTTATGGGGAGGAAGGGGTGACATAAGACAAATTTCTTTAGGGGGTACATCATGTTTATTGTGCCAAGTTCATGCTTACTGTATCCCATAATGGTAATCCAGTCATAAATGATATATATAGAGATAAAATACACAAAAAACTTAGATAGTACTAAATAAATGTCTTGAATAAAAAATGACAAAATGAGCAAGTCTCGCAACATTCGCCATAAGTATCGTACTTGACAATTTAAGCTTGCCGCAGCAAAATAAATAGAGCACGTACATTGAACATAAGATTGCCATTAAACCTCAACGCGACACACGGATCAAATTTGACGACCATTTCTGACTTTTTCGGCAGTCGCTGAAAAAAATGGCCGTTTTCGAGAAGTTATTTTGGCAGTTGGGGTCACGCTTTAGTGGCCATTGGCGTCGTTGCGAGGTTTAAACAAGAGTCAATTCATGGACTGCTGTCCGTCAGGACCAAAAAAAAGGCCATGGTAGAGAGGTGGCCGTTAGTGAAGGCTCGATTGTAGTAAAATATGTGGAAAAGAACCTCGATATAACGAAACCCCGTACAAATGCCGGTGGAACCTCGGTATAACAAAGGACCAAGTAATTGGCATTATTATACATTGAACACACCATCTCTTTCTGATTGGCCGAAAGCGTACGGTGAATTTTCGAAATCAGCGCCTGGGACGTCATCTAGCTGCTGATTATACAATAAGGTCACGGGTAATCATGTCATGTACGACCGCGGTGCATGATTTCTAACGGTAATCACGTCAAGTCCGCGCGCTTTGTGTTGCTTGCCGTCAGTGAAGAAGCCAAAACATGACTTCCAGGTTTGCTTCGTTGACCAAGCAAGACATCGAAAAAGTAGTTGAAGACAGGGACTCACAAACACAAAAAAGTCGACGAAGATGGCAAAGGAGCTGTCTGCTGATTACGTGAAAGAGAAAAAACAGAGAGAACCTGAGGCAAAGAAACAGTTGGAACAAACTTTGAAAACATGTTACGTCAGAAGCGAGAAAGAGAGGATTCGTTCAATGTATAATAAAACAATTATTAGATTCGCGCGGTTTTTAATAATAACCTGATAACCCCTACCTCGACCTTAATTATTCTGGATATCACAAAAATCTCATCCAATAATTGTATAAAATTTGTTCGCCATATTAAACGTCGAGGTGTCGTTATATTGTGCTTTCTCTTCATGAATAATTTACTATTAATACCAACGGGTTGAAAACAAAATCGTTCGTTATACCGAGGGTGTCGTTATATAGAGCTTCGTTATATCGGGGTTGCACTGTATAGCGAACAAATTTTGACAATCCCTTGGCCCTCTGTTACATCGAGGCTCCTCTGTAGAAAGAATCACGATGGGCGTTTCCCATATAGCTTAATGGCGGAAGCTTTGTTTGAGTGGATACTTCGAACTCGTACCGGCGCCACTAGCGTACGCCTAATATAATTTAACTGGGTTTCCCATATTAATTAAAGCATGTGAATCATGCACACCTTTGGTATCAAGAGCCGTTGAGTACTCCGGACATGCTGCTAGGCAGTGGAAAAAACCACCAATACTTTGCCTAAGACAGAAATTTGCCCAGTGACCACTGTAACAGGCATCACTGAATATCAGTGGGTAATAACAGCCACCAGGCACCATGTCAAAAATCTCTTGAATACTGATTGTCCCATCTGAAAAGCACCAGTTTCCAGTACCAATTTCACCATGCCCTGTATAGTACAACATAGGCTTGGCGTTTGTGTCCTTGCATTTTTCAAAAAGCAAGGTGATGTGTCGAAGAGCTGCATGCTTAGTGAGATAAAGATCTTTAACAGTGTTGTACAGCTTTGATCCGACTACATCTTCCATGTTGACTAAATCACGAGTCACACCAGCTAAAAATACACCATTCCTATCTCCTTGTGCATCCCGAGTTCGTCTCTTAGAAATTCCAATTTCTTTAGGTGGATCTGTGGCACCTGAGAGAAGGAGCCAAAGTGGTTCCGGGCTTGTCGGGTCCCACTCTGACCACCGATCGATTCGGCCAACACATGGTCCCTGTGCAATTGCTGAGCCAGCAAATGCACCACACATCTTCTCTATATTGTTTTCCATCAGTGTATAAAATACTGTTACCAATGGGGTCCTGTATGAAATAAATAAATAAAATAACAGGTAAAAGATGAAAAAGATAAAAACAGGATAAACTGTGACAATAAGATAAAATCAGGGGCACCCAACGACTGTTTTCTATAAAATATCTGTTCGGAGAAGAAACAATTTTCTAGAATTTTCTAAAGCTTGACAGAGGGTCGTAAAAATTCCTAGATGACCGTTCCATTCATGCACAATTTATATGCTATGGTATGCTCCTTTGATGCCAAACAGTTGGCAATTGTCATGAATTGTTGGGTGTGAATTCTTGGAAAGCAAGAAGCATTTGCAATCTTTAAGTAACTTGTATATTTTACCTAATGTCGTCGGCTGAGATTTTTGTATATTTGTCGCCCCAATACGTTAGGTAAGCTCAGAATGCCAAAAATACTACAGCGACCTATGGCAAAGCGAGTTTCGTGTCGCGATATTTTTGTAGTGCCTTCCGTTCTTGGAATCGACCCCGTGACGATCCTCAATATACCAACTCCTTGCACTGTTCAAAACTTGGTGGGAATTAACGTCTTAGCAACGTCTTGAATATACAGACAATAATATACAACGATTTAACTGATATACGCGCTGCACATTTAAGTCCACCTGCTGCCACTGATGCTCAAATCAGCCTATTTCCATGCATGGTAGCGTTCCTGCCATTAAAACAACTCGCTCGATCGGTCCTCGATGGGTATTTGATCATTTATACACCACATCAAGAAACACACTTGTCTTGTAAAGTTACAAGCAGCATTGAGTCTTCTAACATGCATCACAAATCAAATTGCTAAAAATAACTACTATATTCTAAGCGATTACAGACTTTAGATACCTGCTTCGTAGACAAATTACGGTTTCGCAATTTTCAAGGAAGTAACAGTAATTAGCATGTGTTTATTCAGCCACGGCGTTTTCCACTCTCAGCTCATCCTAGTTTATTGAGGACAAGGCTATTTAGAGGAAAGTGAAGCAAACTCTGCTTGAAAACCGCTACGAATCGAACCTGAATATATAAACCTGCGAGCGAGGAAGCTAATCTTTTTCACTTTTACGCGACTAGCTTCAGAATTCTCGGAAAGCTAGGGATGGATGTCACATGGCTTGAATAATCGCGATGACATAAATATTAATTTTCCTATGAGACTGACATTCCAAGAAAAAGGGGGGAAAGGTTATCTGATATCGATAAGTAAATTCTGAAACATTTTCCATGCTAACATTTAAATTGATGTAAAGAATTCGAACGTATTATGACACGTTAGCACGGGATATTTTAAAGTGAGACTTTACGTCAATATATATCTAGCCGGATTTTTAATAACGTTATCGCCAAATGGACCTTTTGTGTGGAACAGCTTTTTTCGGCCGAAAACTATCTCCAAAGTAGGTATTATAAAAACTAAGAGTGCAACCATGGCTTGTTTTTCTTCTCCTCCTTTCCTTCTCCTCGCTCTTTCTTTTTCTCCTTTCCTTTTCCTTAATTCGTTACTATTCGTTAGGTTGGTTTTCAAAAAATCGGCTAGATCTACCTTCTCAGTTTCCGTCTCAGTCACACTTACGTAACGGTCAACCATGTTTAAGTTCGTTGACTTGCATTGTCTTTTTTTTATTTTTTTTTTACTTTAAAGTGCCTAGGCTAAAAGGGCCTCGCAACTTTTTAATTTGAAAATCGAGGAACGTACACGCCGCTGCATGTTCTCCGCTTAAAGGTAAAGATTCATCCTGGCAGCTTTCAATGATTTTTCCACGTCCACAAAATAGTTTGTGTTAAGGTCATCTTCTGCTGTGTTGAACCAGTCAGCGTAATTTCTTTTTGACAGTTTGTCAGATTGTAGGACAGATGTGTTTGCCTATGATTTACTTTCGACGTGATTTTTTTGGTCTCTTCGTATAATTAAAGATGCGGAAGAATTTCCTCCAGCCTTTTTGCGATACATCTCGTTGCTAGTTTGTGATGTGTGTTGAAGATAGAGATATTATATAAGGTTCAGGGTTTTAAGAGGCAGAGGGTCCTTAGTCCTTTTTTTGAATCAAAGAAATAATTCCTTACCTCTGGGAGATGGGAAGCTATCCCAAGAGCGAGCCATGATTGAGAGGGTTGGAGATCTCATTTCAGGAAGAAACTTAACATAGACATATAACTCTGCCGATAGACCATCAGGTAGGTAATGTACGTAGGTAAGTATACTTTATTTGTAAAATTAATATTACAAAAGAAACACGCTAGCCCCAACATCACTTGCCTGGTGTCCATGGAGGGCGTGTTGACACATAAAACCGTATATTAAATTACTAAACTGCCTCTAAATTTTTTTTTATACTACTACTACTACTACTACTACTACCACTACCACTACCACTACCACTACCACTACCACTACCACTACCACTACCACTACCACTACCACTACCACTACCACTACCACCAGGGAAGAACTAATTGGAGAGAGCCGTGCAAAAGTTGTACCCGCTTGAGCTGTTCTGTGATAGACCTCAATTGCAAGAGCCACCGAGAGCGCCAGTAGGGAGCTTACGAATCGACGACTTTCGCACGACGCCGCTGCTGGGTCACGTCATAGTTCTGCGTTGCCGTCCTGTAGAAATTGAATTTACGATTGGTAGTAAAGACGACAACGTTGGTGCGCGCAGCAGGCAAATTTTCCCGCCGTTTCTGAAGTTTGTTTTCTTCTTTTCACAAGTAAGCTTGTTTGTTCTACCAGAATGTCTAAATTCATTAGAGAAATGAGAGCTCGTATTGCAGACGCTTATGGAAACAGATTTATAAAGGACGAGTATTTCACTGTATTTGTACTTTTATGCGTTTCGTCTACAAACTCAGAGTTAACTACGGATTTAGACGAGACAACAAAGGACGAATGCAAGGCGCGTTTATATACAGGGAGGGCATTTATAAAATTGCTGAACGGCTGTAGTTACTGTGATGAGATAACCACTTGCAATGGTCTAGTTGTAGCTTTGGTACCATCTTGCCAATATGGTTTCACTCGGTGTTAATTTATGTTTGTCTACAGCTAGCCGATGGTGTTGATTCTTCGGGTGGTTACTCCAATGAAAAAAGACAAACAAATCGAGAACATATGTAAAGAACATGTCCCTAATGTGATACTTGAATTATCTGGAAAAATCCGCTGTAGTATGTAGGGAAAACTTTGAAAATTAGTCTCACGTCCTGCTTTTTCTAGGACGCCGGCGAATCGCTGTCAACAACGGCGTCGACTTTGGCGCGACGCCGGCAAGTGCCCAGATAAGCATGCGCAGTAAGCCTATAACGCAGTCCAACGGCGTCGTCGTGCGAAAGTCGTCAATTCGTAAGCCCCTTAGTATTAAATCTAGGGACGCCCGTTTACACGCCTAGGCGAGATGCCGCTGTTGCTGCCGGACTAAGCGTCCAGGAGAAAGCTCAACACGAGCAGAACCAGTAAACGATAAACATTGATTTAAAACGATGATTTGAATTCTAATCAAACTGAAAGAAAAATGAGCAATGTTAGTTTTGTAATTGTTTCCATTACCGACACAAATAGGGGAGTGTGTCGTGACATTTTTTAGTTGCGTTGAGTTACATTAGATCAGTTGTGAGTTGTCAATTAATAGAGTGAACCTTATCCTGTTTGTGTACATTAGGAAAACTCTTATCTCCAGTAAGACAATAGAATCGGAAGTGTTTCCTAGGTTTTTAGGGTGTTAACCTTTGCCTTAAGACTGGTGAACAGTTACAGACTTTGCAATCACTTGTATCTGCCTTACTGAAATCAATCGAACTTAATCGTTCCATTGAATTCGGTTGAATCGAACAAAATCGAACAAAATCGAACACGAAAGCCTTTGTGAGTTCGATAATCGAACAAATGTTACATAATCTGCGAACTGAACCGTGCGAGTTTGTTCGATAACCGAACAAATTGTTGACTTTTACTCAAATCTTAACCTCGATCTACTCTGAGAAAGACTGATACGTGTAGTGAATTCAAAGCCATCAATTGAAAGAGGTCTTTCTCCCAATAATTTGTCTTGGCCACCAGACCAGCTGTCCTTTTTTTCTTAAATCGGACAGTTTGCTTATTTGTAAAGGAAATTATAGTCAAGCTCTATCTGAAAATATCCAAATTTATTCTTAATTGGACAGTTCGTTAGTTGTTAAAAACTTCAGGGATAATCAGCTTTGCTGAAAATATCGGACTAGCTACCAGCTATATAATTATATAGAGGATATTACATGGCCGCGCGGGGATACGAATTTTGTCTTCGAGTGAGCGAAGCGAAAGAGTGAGAGATACTTTAATTCAGCACGAGAAGATAAGATTCGTATCCCTAAGCGGCCATGTAATGTTCTGTTTATTTTATAGATACTGATGAAATTCCTACATAAAACACAACTTGAAGCTCATCTGCGGATGCATCTGCGGAGAAGAGAGTGTCGACGCGAAAAGCTATCCGGTGTGTGAACAATAAACCAATGAGAAAATAAAAATGTTTAACCTGTTCCACGGGGTCCGGAGTAGTTCAGTTTGTCGTGAAAACTTCGAAAACTCGATTAAAAACGGGAAGCTCTCTTGTAATTGGCTAATCATAATGTTAGTAACCATGGCGACACCACTGCGCGCGATGAAGATATGATTTTTTAGTAAAAGAAAAAAAACCCTGGTATTTCATCAGTCTCTATATCATAAAACAAATTTATCCATTCAAGTATTGATGTATTTACTACACGAGGTAATCGAGAACACTGAGGTTATATAAAATATTGTTAACTAAACTACAATGTAAGAGGGTCTCAAAGGAGTAGTAGCTTTGACGCTTGACGGTTAACTGTTTCCAACTTTGAAGGTAAAATTTTAGAGCTTTTGACGGTTGACGGCCGTTATTAAGTGGGAATTTAGTACAAGAGCTTGTGAAATAATTAACTTCTGTTCAATATTAATTAATGACATTAATGTCAAGTGCTTTTGAGAACTTCAGGGAACTGGTTTTTCCAGTTCGTGTAGATCACTAGTGTAGGAGCTGAAATAGAGAGAATTAAATTACCTAGAAAGGTTTTGACGGTCAATAATAATCTGCAATTTTGAAGGTAAACGGTAAAAAGTCACCTTTTTCGACGTCTGGTAGTCGTGAAGGTTAAACTGAAGGCTGAAGCTTACCCTGTTGAGACCCTGGTCTAATTGTAATATACAATGCCAAACTACTGTAACAGTTACGATAAAGTAGTAAAAAACTTTATATAAGATAATATGCTAAAATTCACTAAAATTTGCAAATTCTGAGTAAAGCCCCTACTAAAATATACTACAAAATGGTGAAAATATTTCTTTAATCTTTAAGGGCTACAAACCATACAGGAACTACAAGTATACTGCAGCCGCATCTGGTCGGTAAAAGAACCACAGAATTGGCAAGGGATTAAACGTACTTAAAATAGTTTTACGTTAAACCTCTTGCAACGGAATCTCTTGTAATTAAGTATGGACACTGATTATTACCTGGGTCGAGTTGTTTGAAGCTCGGTTAGCTCTGTTCCTGGGTTTACTGTAAAACAGCGGACATGGTATTTTTTGGCTAACAATAGAGATGCAGTAATCATGTCCTGGGACAACTCTGTCTAAATCAACTATCAACTATTTAAAGATTTCACAGCTGGCAGCAACAAAAAAGAAAAACTGCATTAAAAAACTATATATAAAAAAAAATTTAAAAAAAATGAGAACTAGTACCCCTGAGGGTGCTGGGGGCAATCTGTAACTTTAAAATAGAACAGGAAAGCCACCAAAACAAACCAAAGAGTTCAGTGGCCGCACCCAAAAACAGAAACTGTATTTCTATTATCTGGATTCAGATCAGTGAAAACCAAAAAAAACAAACAAACAAACAACAACTTACAACAAACTGAGATCTTCACGACGACCAAAAAGGAACACTATAAAGTAAAAAAAACAACAAACAAACAAACAAAAGAAAACAAAAAAACAAACAAGAAAATGTTATTTATGCCCCATTCGGTTCGCAAAAAAAAACCCTTATTGACATCATGCCGGACAAAAACAATATACTGGGGGATACAAGGGTGGCACTTTGTCTTGTTTAGCTTGCGGGTTAGCTTTCATAGGAAGAAATTATGCCTTTTTCAGATAGCAACTATGGGATTAATTATTGAAATCAACTCTGAATGAAATCAGTAAGAAAAATGAAAACTTTGCAATGTTCTTCCTTTCAAAGCAATTTCATTCAAGTGGATTAAACTAAAAGAACCTACCTTAATTTAAAGTTAGCCCGACGTACATAACCTGATCTATTTTCATCCTTAGTAATCACACTTAAAGTTTTATTGTCAGTTGGATCCTTGAAGATGATAGTAGGATGGAATCCCTGTTTAAATTTCTCATCACTCATGGCTATTGTTTCAGTCGTGTCGAACCACCTGTAGGTCTGCCCTTGTGGCATCTTCGTCATAACAACTAAATACTGCTCTAGCCCAGTTGAGTAACATATTCCAGTAATAGCTTTTCCTTCTTTGTATCCCTTCTGTATTTCATCTCTTGTTTCTCTCCAGGTACTACGAGTAAACCACATCTGCTGTTTTCCATGGTATTCCTTAGTGTCTTCTGTCATGATGATGTAAAATGTTGAATCTAGGGCAGCACACGAAGTTATTTCAAGACCGTCATCCCATTGTTTCTCTATATCATCCGTGCTTTCTATAATGACTTGTGTCGTGCCATAGCCTTCCATAAAGAACACCCCGAAACCAAACTTCTCATCACAGGCAAGGGAGTATATCCCCTTTGACTTACCATCAACCCATTTCCATTCCTCATTGACGAACTCAAGAAACGCGTCGTAGTTTCTTTTAATTCCCCAACTTGTCACAGGTCTTGGATTGTAAAGTTTTGAAATTGCAAAAATTCCAGAGAAGAAGCCATCATGCATGCTCTGGGAAATCAAAATGTTTTGACTGTTAAAAATATGGCTACTGATAAAATCTGTGTAATCAACGGTACCATATCCACTGGTTATACGGAAGTCACGTATCTTTCCGCCACTATATATGGGCTCTGTTCTTGGGCGTAGTTTGTTTCCAGTCATGTACAATGTTAGATCTCCTCCTTCATCTACGAATCAATTTGAAAAGTGCAGAATGTCAGTAGAATGGAACCCTGATATAACGATCCTCTATTTAACGAAGTCATCGGTATAAAGAACGATTTTCTTCACCTCTGAGTCAAACCTCAAAATAACGAAACCTCGTTATACTGTGGAACGTCGTATAACAAAGGGCCAAGATGACTGGCAAAATTTGTTCGCTATCACGAGGTTTCGTTATATCGGGCTTTCTTTTCATATATTCTACTATCACTAGGGTTAAAAAACAACATCGTTCGTTAGTATATCCACATACACTCAGTGATATTGGTGATTTAAGCAATCTGATTGGTTCGCTATCTCGGACTATAATATATATATTCACCTTCGAGCGAGTGGATAATGGGTGAGCTCGGCTCGGCGCTTTTCCTATTTTTGTCTCGAGAAAACGATCTTTCAAAAGTCCGTAGAATCCTAGGGTTGACTTTTTTTAAGGCAAGAAAAGACTTCGAAGGATTCAAAATGAGGTTTTTCATTTACTGTTATAGCTGAATTTTTTACTAGATGGAATGTTTATTGAACTCTCGCGTTTATTCGAGTCAAAAAGGCCGTTTCGTGAACTCAGCGCGTTTTCAGAAAATCGAAGTTTATTTATGACAAAAAAAAAATAACATTAACATAACATAATATTTGCACAACCAGAAGCAACGAACCCTTTTTATAGCTTTAAACCTGGCGCGTTAACAGAAAATAGCAAAACACTACTTTTCTTCTCGGGTAAGAAAACAGTTCAAACTTTTAACGGTTCCATTTAAGCCACTACGCTGTTGTCTGCGAAGTGATAAACTTGCGAATTGCCATGTTTGAATATTCTGCAAAGATCTAACTTTCGGGCATGCATTTTATGCAAAATTTTCACGCATGATTTGATCCGTCGTACTTTTTAATTGTTTGAATCCTTTCTGATTTTGTCGAGATCACTTCGTGTGTATTTACTAAAAAAAAAAAATTATTCTTTTCAATCTCGTTCATTAGTGGCGTTGGGAATATTTAACTCGATTTCAAAGAATAATTGTTAATTATTCAATAAAAAACAACTGGGTCAATTAATTCCGCTAATGCGGCCGCAGCCAATTAACTGCTGGTTCTAAAACAATGGGAAGTTGCACTAAATTGGATAATGCCCTCGCAAGCTCCACGGCTTTCTTAAAAATAATAACGAAGCGCTTATAGTAGTGCGTAGCTTTTACACAATACCCTCCTTCTAATTATACACCGCTGTAATGTAAACATAATAGTTTTGATTTCAGATTAATTAAACAATGTAAAACATACACACTTTTGGTATCAAAAGCCGTCGAATACTCCGGACATGCTGCTAGGCAGTGGAAACCAGAAATACCTTTCTCCAGACAGAAATTTGCCCAGTGGCCACTGTAACAGGCATCACTGAAGATCATTGGGAAATAACAACCTCCAGGCACCATGTCAAAAATCTCTTGGATACTGATTGTCCCATCCGAAAAGCACCAGTTTCCAGTACCAATCTCACCATGGCCAGTATAGTACAGCATAGGATGGGCCTTCGTGAGCTTGCATTTTTCAAAGAGCCTTGTGATATGTCCGAGAGCCGCCTCCTTAGTTAGATAAAGATCTTTAACAGTGTTGAACAGCTTTGTTTCAACTACGTCTTCCATGTTGACTAAATCACGAGTCACACCAGCTATAAATGTGCCATTTCTATCTCCTTGAGCATCCCGAGTTCTTCTCTTAGAAATTCCAATTTCTTTTGGTGGATCAGTAGCCCCTGAGAGAAGTAACCAGAGCGGCTCCTCCCTCGTCGGTCTCCACTCTGACCAACAATCGATTCGGCCAACAAACGGCCCCTGTGCAATTGCTGAGCCAGCAAAGTTAGACATGTTTTCTATATAGAAATACAACGCTCAATTTAGGATCTTACGCTACGGTTGGTCATTTATGACACATCCTATCTCATAAGATACGTAGAATCACTCCCAAAAATTCGAAACATGCAGGTGAAAGATGATTGTGGGTGTAAGCCGAGAGAGGGGACTAGTTGAAAGAACCCTAATGTGCTCTTAATCGATCAAAAAATTTTTGTCAGTGTTATGCTCAATGTTAACTAAATCGTCTTAGTTTTGAATAATTTAGGACCAGTAATCACTCAGCTTCTTCACCACTGTGGGGTGGGGGGGGGAGGATTGCACTTCCTTTTCCTAAAGGTGATTGCACGGCTGAATATAGGGTATGTTTTTCAGGGTCCTGGGTCTTAAACAGTCAATATTTAGCGTCTTGAACAGGGTCTCCTTTCGGTCAGACCGGAAGCGTTAAAAAGGGTGTGAAGCTAGGTTGTTGATGAGAGGTCAGTACTATGTGGAACTGCACACTAGTACCGAAAATGATCCCCAGACCGCATATTTAGACGAATGGATTGGATCGTAGCCATGAAGGGTGAATTGCTCGAGACCTTGCAATTGAAAAATGCGTAAAACACCGAAATAAATAAAACGATAAGCAACCGTCTTGCTCTGGCAATTGCGTCTCCTTTCTTTCAAGCCGATAGATGTTTCGTTGCTGCAGTGAATATTTAAGACAGGAAACTCGTCTTTCGTTTTATGCCGAGGACTGATACTGAAAGACTCGGATCCCTGAATTTATCGCTCGGTGCAGGTTTTCAAGTGGTACTTTGTTTATTTCGGCAGACGCCTTTGCTGCTGGAAACAGTGTCAATTAAAGATACAAAATCAGGGAAGGAGAAAAGAAGGAACGAGTAAGCGTTATTAATTACTTTTCCTATCATCAGCAAATAATTCTCTTAAGCCGTAAGAGCGTTCAGAGCAAATTTTTACTTTGGGTCGATTTCAGAGACTTTCAAGTTAATACTGAGATCAATAGGATTTGAGATTTTTATTTCTTCTTCAAAACATTATATCGAAATTAAAACTGAAATTGTCAACAGTCATGTTTATGTTATGTTAACCACTGATCGACTAAGCAAGACATTGTATTGCTCATTCTCGTCCCCAGAGCCACTTGGCTTAATTTGTAACGAACCAGTTCAAGTGCTATTTTGTTTCACTTGTATTTTATAAGTTTATTTCTTGTTTCCATTTCGAGAACATTTGTGGTCGGGGATAGTTTGCAGTGCTGTACAGAACCAATTATTATTATTATTTTTAAATCTAGTCCATGATGTTAGTTCAGGGGCACCCAACGACAATTTTCGGAAAAATATCTGTTCGGAAGACGATTTGAGATCTAGAATTTTCGGAGCATTTGTTGTAAAATTTCTTGCTTGCCTGCCTGTCCTAGGATTTTCGAACATCTAAAAAATGGTAAAATTGACCATTTTCAACGGATTTTTACCCTAAAAAGGTCACCTAGAATTTTCGGGAGCCTTTTTTCTGGCTGAAATTTTCGAACGGGTAAGTTTTGATCCCTGTAATTTTCGGATCACTAGACTTTCAGCTAGGAAATCCGAACAGATGAAAAATTTATAGGGGATAAAAATATGCCCATATCCACCGTTTAAATACTAAAACACGTTTAACAATGCTATATTTAAGTGGTTTTGGACTATATTCTCGTTGGGTGCCCCTGTTAGTTTCACGGCCACAAGATGTTATTTAATTCTGTGTGAAACGAAATGAATTAGGGTCATGAAGTTAGTCCCTGGTCTTATTACTAACCCTTTTTAGACCAGTTGAATCTTTAGCTGGCTTCATCAGAATTTCAACACTTGCAGATTTTTTTGTTTCCTAAGCATCCTTTTATAAACAAATCTTTTTTGTCACGATTTCCTCAATTCCAGACTCTTTTTTAATAGTAAAATAAAGATGTCATCATGATATATCACTGATATTAAACTTCCTGATTTGTCAAAAACCTTACCATTATTTTTTCCGTTTCGAGGGGAAACATTGACGGAGTCTGTCAATAGATTTATCAATTTGACGTCATAGTGACGACAAGTTACGTCATTGTGTCAATCAAGTTTGCCTACATGTTGGAAATGCGCTGTGCAATTTAGGTGACCGAGCGGTTTTTTAATTATAAGGGGGGGCCTCCGGAGACCCCCACCACCCCTGGTTGCAAGACGCGAAAAAAAGCCCGGTCTGAATTGGGTGAAACAGGGTAGCGAAATGTTGAACAGCTTCGGCTTCGGCTTCGGCGCCACTTATCTATCAAAACTTCCCTTGAGTGCCTCCCCCCCTGGACTGTGAATATTTCACATCCAATGCCTTTTAACCCCATTTAAGGGAGTCCGGATTCTGGAACCAGGGAAATTTTTGCTTGGGGAATCTGGAATTCATGAAAATTTTGCTTATAGAATCCGGAATCCTCAGCTTTGGAATCCAGAATCCAAGTTCAGCTGACAAAGACTGGAATCCAGCACCTGGGATCCGGAATCCATGGCATGGAATGCGGAATCCAAGACTGTCTTGGATTCCTTACATGGGACGTGCCTTTGATCAACTCAATGCATCCATGCAGTAAAAACGAGCTTTAAGTCGAACGTATGATGAGACAATGTATCCGGGGGGTACTCCCCTATAAAAGTGACGGGGGTGCTCGTCGTACCTTTTAGGGGTTTAAATTGGTGGGTTGGTACCGCTTAGGGTGCTAAAACCTAAGATGACTGCTGCCAGAGATGATACGCTTTATGAGGATAAAGATTTACCACAATACTTTCAAAAAGTCCTTGAGAACGTTAAAACTGTTAAAATTTGCAGTGCCAGTTATATCATTTGTTGTTGTTGAATTGGTACCTCTTAGGGATTGAAATAAATTTGGGACACGTCCATAAAACAAGGTTCTGGTACCTTATAGGGGAATTCTCTAAATTTTCCGACGAGTACCACCGTCACTTTTATAGGGGAGCACCCCCCGGGCAATTTATCTACCGATTGAGAGTATGCGATCTAACGCTTGTTAGTTCCAAATATGCCAAAAGCTTATTCACAGGTGTTTTACTATATTGGGATCCAGAATTAGGATGCCTGCCGACTAATCAGGTGTTGTATTGCAACTGGAGAAAGCAGGATCAAAAATGAAAGTCATCCAGATTATCACGAGCTTTCCGTCTGCAAAACAAATGCTCCCTCTAAAAGAGCAAATCTTTCGATGGCAGGGCATTTCGTATTCTAATTAAACGAGGCCTAACTTAGAGTTTGTACTTAGTCGAAAAGATGTTTAAAATTATCTGTTTATCAAAAACAATTAAGGGAACGATAAAATACTTAGACTTGCATTGTACCCAGGAAGTAGACACACTTAATAAGATGGCAAATAAATCGCTTTCATTGATCCGAAACCTCGTCTTTCGGAGACAATCAAGTTTAAATCAACTTACCTTAACGATGAAGTAGAATAGTCTTCCTAGTCTGTAAGTGAATTAGGGAAAATCAAAGTAATTTCGCATGCTAAGACGTCTCACAGAAACCGTGGCGGAGAGGAAAATTTAGCCTGATCTCAGGTTACTATGCGCTATAAATAACACCTTACGTAACGGAGGTCTGGGCGTAGTGGCAGGGGGAGAGAGGGGGGAGGGGGGAGGGGGGGGTCTCAACCATAACGTTGGGCTGTAGGAACGAATCATGGGTTGCGACTTGGAACACCGCCTTACGGCCACCTCGTTAATACGGTGTTATTACGGCCACTATATTTTGGCCGCCTAACGAAACGGCCATACATTTTCTCGTTAAAAAAAAAAACGCTCGTTAATACGGTCACCCTTTAATACGGCCAAATAATTTTGGCCCTTTGGTGACCGTATTAACGGGGTTCCACTAGCTGTATATATAACTATTGAGTTTTTGTCTGATAAAGGTGGATTACAATTAACGCATTTTGAAGCTGTCTCTCTTTTGTATTGCCTGGTCTATCCTTTCTTCCGTAGTTTCTTTCAGAAATTAGATGGCGCCATTCCAATGAATCGCAGCTCTCAATGGCGCATGCTTTTGCGGCTCAGCCCGGGGAGGGGTGAGGGTGACTCCGCATATGAAAGGGGTGGGGATGCTCGTCGTCTCGTTTAGCGGTGTAAATTTCGGATTTTGGGGTCACTTATGGTGTTCAGGGCAAAACGCCATCATACTTAGCCGTGAAGGTCTCGTGTAGGGTTGCACGCGAAAAAATATAAAATATATATATTGTCTGTGTTTTAACATGGTCTCTTTTATATTAGAGGTCAAAAAAAGCTTGGGCCACGCCCAGATCGGTCTCATTTAGGGTTTTAATTCAAAATTTCCGACGAGCATCCCCACCCCTTTCATATGCGGAGTCCCCCCCTCCCCGGGCGGCTCAGACGCCCGTTTCTCGAAAGGCCTGCGGTAACTTTTCAGGTACGAAGGCAAATTTTGACATCAAGCGCAGATGAATAGTACCACAGTTCCTAGCTCACAAACCGGTCAACTTTGCTTCGTTAACTGATAGTTTCATTGTATCATTCAAAATTATTGAAATTTGACCTTAAATGCAAACACTGAAAACATAAAACAGCTTTTCGGGGCCGAAAAGTTACCGGGCCTCAGCGCCTACTCCCTGATATAAGCCATGCAAATATGTGCCCCAAAGGATAAGGTTTTTGCTCCGTTTCGGAGTGAAAACGGGTGTAGACTTTCCCAATTTTGCCTTGGAATCGAGCGAGTATGGTTTTCGAGGTCGGTATGAACGTATCATCCGTTTCAGTTCTTAAAGAGTAATATGCGAATTTGAAATGGGTTTTAAGAAATTTTCTTTTTTTCGCGTTTTAATCTAAGTAATGAAGACGTAATTTGGGGCTATGTATATGTAGGTCTCAACAGGGGTACAGATTTTATAGGCAAAGGGCAGGAGCCAGGGGCATTTCTCCAAAGGCCCGGAATAGCAGCTGTTGAATAGCACGCACGGTTCCGAGACGTGATAAGCCAGTCAATTTTGAATTTTGCTTCGTTAATTGAAAATTTCATTTTATTACTTTTAAAATTGTTAAAACTTTGATCTTTCAAATGTAGACGTGGCAAGCACAAAGCAGCTTTCCGGGCCCGAAAAGTTACCAGATCTTAACCAGGACTTTCGAGAAACAGGCCCCAGGTACGGTCTGAGAACGGGTATGGAAAATGACATTTTTGGTCTGAAATAGGGTCACGCCGGAGAACCAGGCGGCACACTCCCGCGAAGACTTCCTAGGAGTACACCCCTCCCTCGGGGTTTTGGGTCCAATATCCATCGGTCTCTCCAATTTGTCACGCCACAGCCTCGTTTCCACGAGTTTATACTGACGCACGTCACATGTTGTCACGCTTACTTCTTCTATGCAGGTCGAGGACGAGAAAATGAGCACCAAATTTATTACGATTTTTAGCTTCACGAGTGCATTGACCTTACATTATATCGTCTTACTGATTTTATCTGTGGCAGTGTGTAGTTCTGGCTGTTTTCAGGGACCTCCTCTGCCTAACAAACCATTTATAACCGTATGGAACACACCTACAGATCAATGTAAACCAAAATGGAACGTCTCTTTAGATCTGAGTGCTTTTGACATCGTGGTGAACGAAGACCAGGAGTGGTGTGGGGAATACATCGTTATATTCTACAATACACAACTTGGATTGTATCCGTATTTTGACAGCAATGGAAAAACTTTCAACGGTGGTTGCGGGCTCAAACCACTCAGGGTCTTTAAATAACTGAGAAGAAACTGCTGCCCTTGTAATGAGATCTGCAAACTGTTAGACTTTCTAGTCTTCTCAGATTAGGATGAAAAACCATAGGTCCAGTTTCACAGCACTTTCACTTATCTGGTTCTTGTGGGATGTAAAAGAACCCACACCACTGTTCGAAAAGAGTGAGGGGACATAGACCGAGGTGGGGTGTCCAACCTTCCTGGACTGGGTGGGTTATCTGTTAGCAGAGATCTTAATATAGTGATTCCTCCTTTAGGAGTTGCAATGGCTACCTGTAAATAGTGTAACTATATGTATGTACCAACTTTAAGGTACACAATGGTCTTTTTTCTTTTTATGTGATAGCTTGGAAATCTTACAGCACACTTATTAAAAGTAGAGCAAGATGTAGTAAATATCACTCCTGATAATGAATTTCATGGTATTGGTGTGATTGACTGGGAATACTGGAGACCTGTGTTTGACAGAAACTGGGATAAACTCTCTATCTATAGGTCTGTCAGAATTTTGTTTTGTCTTTAAATAGTTGAACACTTTGATTGTTGAGCCTCTATATAGGGTATTTCCGAAGAAATCGAAGTCTTGACAATTGCTGTTGATGGAGCAAAGATCTTAGGGATTAAAGCACCGATCACATTGCTATTCGAATCAAGACTGGTAAAAAATCTGCCCAAAAATTGTGCTGCATGATCAGAGTTTTTGCTTCGCTTATTAAAGCTGTTGCATTCTTGATTTTCTCTTTTCCATTGTCGTTGTGGTTGCACTAAGCTCACCTGTAGCATTACTACACAAAATTTGTTCTTCATATTATTGAATATTTCACCTGAAAAACTGTTAATTTGATGGAAAGCACGTGACAAAATTGGCATCCGCAGGTACCCATGTAGGGGCTCATTAAGGGTATTCTACCTGTCTAATATTAATCTAAGATAGACTTGGTTGCGTTTCTCTTCAGTGAAGAATTTCAATAATTGCAATTTGTCCAATTCACTTTTGCCAGTTTATTTTCACAAAATCAGAGAAGGTCAAGATTAATTTGAATTTTTGGTGTTGGTGAGATCTTGTTACTGCAGTTGTAGACTGAAGAACACCTAATTCCAGCTCCTTGCCTGAGACCAACTTACAAACCTTAAGTGAATAATTTATAGAACTTTATGAATGATTGATTGATTGAATGAATGATTGATTGATCTATCTAAAATCAGAATCAGTCGATCAAAATCAAACTCATTCATTCCCATCAATCAATTGATTCGATAGAATGATGTAATGAATGAATGAAAAGAGAGAAAATTAATGATCAAATTTGTCCTTGTTAATTCTGAAGTTAAGTATAAGCAGGCACTTAAGGAACTTAAGTGATGCAAAATGACAAAATTGCTTATTTTTCAATTTGTAGGAACAAGTCTATGGAACTGGTCAAACAGAAACACCCTTTGTGGCCAGATAGTTTAGTTGAAGGGATAGCTAGAGTAGAGTTTGAAACAGCAGCCCGAGAATTCATGGAAGAAACTTTGCTGCTTGTTCAGAAACTTCGCCCAAAGTCCTTGTGGGGATTTTATGGATTTCCAAATTGTTACAATGAAAAAGATGCTGAAAATTGCAAACAAGTGACAATGAAGTACAATGACCAAATTTCTTGGTTGTTTGAGTGGAGTTCAGTGCTGTTTCCATCAATATATCTTCATGACAAGGCAAAACTGAATAGCACATTGTTTGTCAAGTACAGGCTTCTGGAAAGCTTTAGATTTGCTAAGAAGTTGGATGGAAGCCCCATTCCTGTATTCCCGTATGTTCGAATAACATATGCAGTATCTCAGGTGTACCTCAATGTGGTAAGTCAATAATGTTTATCCTCAGCATTATTTATATAAAAAAGGTTGAGTTTGATCGTCCGGGTGAACGTAGTCCTGAATAGGACTGTTGTTGTTGACAGTGACTGAAGTTTCGACAACCTGTGCGGTAGTCATCTTCAGAGTCAAAGTGAGTTGTGTCACGTCAGTTGATGGTATTATACTCTGGTTATTGATCTGATTGGTCAATTATGTCGCGATGTTATTGGTCGTCTGTCAGTTAAGCCGTTCACCCGGACGATCAAACCCAACCTTTTGATATGACTCCTGGGTTCAAACCTTTCACAGTATTTATATAAGTACTAGTGCTTAGCGAGGCTAGGTAAATGCCTGAAACAAATAATTTAAATCAAACACAATGGTGTTAAGACCCCAACTTGCCTAACTTAGGCAAACCAGCTGGCTACATTGTATTTACAAGCATGGTTGAGGATTTGAACTCAAGACAAGCAACAGGTGCGGATCCACACCAGTTTTTACCCTTTTACGGAAATCGGTCAGATTTTTCATGATAAATATGTTTTTAACTATAATAGAACTTTTCAAGTTGAAATCTGGAAAATGGTATAGACAAATGTTCTCTTTTTCCAATTTTTGAGCATTAGATGGGCCCTCAGTAAATCTAAAACCTGGGAAAGAACACTTCCAAAAAAATTCTTAGAGTTACGTTCCCCTGGGCTCCCCTAGAAGCTTGCTCCCTCGGCTCTTCGTTAATAGGAAATCGGTCAGTATTTATCCCAGATCCTCGCCTGACCAATTAGGAACAAATCCAGCTAGTGGTCATGGAGGGACTTGAATGTGGGGCCTCCGAATTGCAAGTCCAGCGATTTAACCACTGGGTCATGCTGTCTCCTAATTAAATTGTGAAGAATTGGAGAAATTTTACACCAGAAAGCCCACAACAAATTTCGAGAACCTCCAGGTGAAAATTAGACCGCAAGCGGTTGTCCTTCTTTCCTCAGAGCCACCCACGGAGAGCGAAAAGCTAAAATAATGTCCTCGCATTCTGCCGTGTCTCCAAAGAAAAATATCAAGAGACTGCTCGCAGTCTACTTGTCAGTGAAAATTGCAAGACCCTCCAAGTGATAAATTGGAGGTTTTAACTACTGAGCTACAATGTGCGTATACTGGAGTCTCTGGGCCTATCATGCCTTCTTAGAGTATAAACTTCTCACAGAGCCACAGCCTAAAAAGGCTTATTTAGCCTGCATAGCAAGCGTTTCCGCGCGAGTTCGTCGAGAAAGTTTGGACGAGAGCAAAAAAAAAGCACGAGGGGGGAGGGGGAAGGGAGCCAAACCGTTTCACTTAATGCTAGACGGAGATTCAAACAATATCTAGAAGCGAGTTTTTAGTTCCCTCTGAGACACCCGGAGAATAAACTTCTCACAGAGCCACAGCCTAAAAAGGCTAAGCTGCTCTGTTGCATAAGGAAGGCCAAACCTTTTTTTTTTAATGCTGGACAGAGATTCGATCAATATCTAGAAGCGAGTTATTAGTTCCCTCTGAGACACCTGGAGAATAAAATTCTCACAGAGCCACAGCCTAAAAAGGCTAAGCTGCTCTGTTGCATCAGCAAGGCCAAACTGTTTTACTTAATGCGGGACATGCACTATCATCGTCACGGATCTAGTCAGTGCAAAATTAAATAAAGCTTCAATCCGTAAATCAATTTTTGGTTTATGAAAATTTACTCACTTTTACTGACAGTTAATAGCCACTGGCTTTAGCAAAATAAATTTTCCTGTTTTCTTAAAAGGGATTTGATAAAATTGAAAATATCCACTACGATCCACACTTAAAAACTGAACTCTGACTCGTTTGCGATCAGGCTTAAGAAATAGTGATCTCCATCAACATTCTCTATGAACATTACACTTTCACGTCATTAGCAGTTATTGAGAATTTATGAAATGATAGAGTGATCAGTGTCGACCTTAAAACGTTTTTGCGCTAAAATGATAAAAGGTATCCATCTGAAGATGATACAAAGGAACCCCCAAAAAACTTACCCAGTTTCGGCCGATGTTTAGAAAATTGAAAAGGGCTGAAGAGCATCACCGTTCGGGCTAAATCCAGTCAGCGACCCTTGATAAAAATCATTTAAGCTTACATAATCAACAACGACGTGAATGCCCGAGTTTCTGACTTGACGGTCATCTGCCACCGTCAGGAAATCATACGATATTGCTTCAAGAATGAATCCCTCGTTTTAATTTCCCCAATTCAGTAATCCACGACCAAGTACCCTTTCCAGATCTTCTCCACACGACGAAACGCTTTCTCTGACTTCTCTGACCGCTTCCTGCTACATTTTCAAGTAGCTGGAAGGAATTTAGTACTTAGTTGATCGCTTTAAACCCGCTTTCGTCTGCATTTCATCGGCCAAGTTAAAGGGTCGTGCTAAGGTTGAAACGACAACAACATGGGATCTTTCCTCTTTGAAAAACCAAACCTTGATGGGTTGACTCGAGGGCCAGTACTATCTGTAACATCGACCAAATCATAAATAGCTATAAATAATCGGCCCTGCTACTTCCAAACATCATCTCTACACAAAAAGCAGGGGCGGATCTAGGGGGGTGTGCGGGGGTGCGCACCCCCCTGAAATGACCTGCGGCTTTCTAATTAACACTGTGCAGTCTGCTTCACAGTTATACAAAATCTGCTTTATCATTTGATATGTATTCTCAGCAGTTCACATTATGTTATTGCCTAGTCGAAAGCCTTCTTCTTCGTATTCGCTATTAAAATTTGTTTACGGCACCAGTCAATTACGCCATTCCTTAGTAGTGCACCCCCTCCTACGAAAAATCCTGGATCCGCCTCTGAAAAGCATAAAATTTTGACTTGCCATGAATTATATCTGTCGGTAAAACCATTTGGTCACTGATACTACGTACGAGATTACCTTTGTTTGGCAAGCGAGGGTCCAAAGACTGACGATGCTTTTCCGACGAACCTGCCACTTTCATGCCGGCTTTGAAATTCGCGCGAGATAGCATTGTAATACAAATAGCATCTGTCTTTCGTCTCAGCTCGTCTTCCACCAGTGACGCGAAAGTACACAAGTCATGACAGATTAGTGACTATTAATTGAATCCTAGTTAGGTTTTTACAAGGACACCGGAAATTGAAACTTCCTCCCTGTGGTGAATTTCAAAGTTGTATGAAAACAAACCAAAACAAAACAAAACATGTATGAAAACAAAACAAAATAAAAACAAAAACAGGAAAAAATATAACTTATATATATCAGGGCTCCTGTTTACATTTTTTTAGGAGCTGGAAATGGTTTATTTGCGTTCAAATAGTGGTTAGTAGATAATAATCACTTGATTATGAAGTCAGAAAAATATTTTGATGTATTCTCACCCGAGGTCACTCGTGTACGTGTGTATACTTTTAGACGCAATCGTCATAAGCGGAATCCGGACGTTTCAGTCCACTAGATCATACGCTCTACGCTTCTGATTACGACTCCGACTCCGTCGCTAATGAAAACCAGCCTTAAAAGAAATCCAGTCAGCAGTGATTAAGCTAGTTCACGCGTGGTACGTTCCTGTAGTTCTTAAAGAGAACCCTGTTACTGTACTCTATTTTCTACAGTCAGAATAAGATATCAGGTGAGTGCCATTTTCGAAATTGCGGTTTGCTGATGCAATTCATGTTAATTAGTAGGAATATCTTCGCTCGCATCTTGTAGAATTTCACTTTTTAACTGTTATATTTTCAAACTCAGAGTGAGTATGGCACGTCAATTACGTTAGGCAGCTTTCTGATTCTTTACAGCAATCGGCGTCAACGAATTAAAACTAACTTCCCGCATATCTATTACAAGTTTGTGTATTCCTTGGAAACAGACTCGATTAAGCCAACTGTTTCCTTCTTCCACAATATAGTAACGTATGCCGTATCAGCTAGTGTGTTTCAACAAACCGAAGTATTCAAACTGAAACATTTTTCCAGGTCTACCCGCTTCCGTGCGATCTTCAAGCTGACTGATCAACTCGACTGAACAAATCAGTTGCTAGTTCGCTTACCGAGGTATACTCAATAAAAACATACATGGCAAAAAGATTGCATAAGCATCAGCAATCAAACCAAAGCAAATAAAAGTTTTTAACATGCATCCCCAATTTCTGCGAGAACTTTAAGATGCTCAATGCGACTCAACTTTATTTATTTATTTGTTTATTTATTTATTTTAGTTTTACCTTATTAGTTGCTACCCTTAATTACCCGCTCGCCAAACGAGGCATAATTTTCATTTAATGCATGTTTTTAACTTGTGCGCTGTGTTTTAAGCCAGCTTCGGTCCCGGTTATGTTAGATAACGCTATCCACTAGATAAATCACTATCCAGCTGATAAATATTAGGGAAAACCTTTCGAACAACTGGACCGTGATAAGCTATACTTGCAGCCACGATCAGCACCAAAGAGAACAGTCCGTCCAGCGTAAATGTAACAATGAAAACCTGTGCTATAAAAAACAGACCTTGTCGAATTCGGGAGAAAATGCCTTATGTTTCTCACATTCCCTCTCAATTCTTAGAATAACAATAACTGTTTAAATTTTTGTGGGCTCTATACTCTAGCGTTGTCGTGGGTATAGACAAAATAATGGCGGTATGATGGTGCAAACAGGCAGACTTCGTCTGTCACGCGAACGTGATCTTCCGAGAAACTTCACAGGAAGTGGGCTTTCATTAATTTTCTCCAGCATTGTTTTCAGGCAAGTTCAATTTTCCACAAATCATCAAAAATTTTGTTAAGCGGGAAATCTACCAACGATTCGAGGGAAACGGAACTTCTATAGCGACGCAAGACAAAATTAATGTTTCGAGAGTCGAGGATACGCTTACAAACCATTCACTATATCCATGCGACGAAAGGAGAAATCACTGGCATGATAGCTCATATAATGGTAATTTTATCAATCCAAGTCGCGATGGTGGGGGTTAAGATCTCAACCGGCCTAGGTGGGAGGGGAGATATTTAGATGAAATTGGCTTGCCAATTCAGCAGAAGATCGATAGGCCCCTTGCACACAAATAATAGGGCCATTTATACGAGGAAAAATAAGACGCGTCTTACATAAGACGCGTCTTAAATAAGACGCGGACTGTACCATTTATACGAGCATGTCTTATCTAATAAGACGCGTCTTAGCTAAGCCGCGTCTTATTTTAGACGAAATGTGCCGTTTATACGGAAAGTTCGCGTCTTATGTAAGACGCGTCTTATTTTTCCTCGTATAAATGGCCCTATTGTGAACACAAGCGGAGCAGGAGATTCTTTTTTTCGGCGCCCCAGTCTGAGCGAAGCGAAGACTAGGAGGGGATGAAAAAAAGATAAAATCTCAAGGGCGGCGAGAAGCCGAAGGCGACGATAATCGGGCCGCCTCTCAAAAGTAAACCACAAATTTGATTCGTGCAGCTCAGGAATGTTCCAAAGTTGGAACTTCGGGACATCCAAATGTCCCAAAGTTGCTTCGGCATTGGTTCGAGGTATTTTCGAGTTGTTTGATGAATTCTTGCAGGGAAAGAAATAATTATGAGGAGTAAATATTATGCCAGGGTTTGAACCAACTCACGTGTAACTCGTTAGATCAGGTGAGCCGCTCTAATGATTCCGCCACTGCGACTAAAGGTCATTTGAAATGTGAAAAATAGCTTTTAGTTATGCAGGAGGTACGCGCAAATGTTTGGCACGCAAGTTCGGTTTTGCCGTAATGACACCGAAATGAGTTCGAATGGCGAGATAACTTCTAGTCCTTTTGGCTTCAATAAATATTTGAGGTGGTGCGCGAAGTATTAAGGTTTTGCGACCCTCAGGAATGTCGTTAATTTGCATTTTGTTGCTCAAGTTAGAGCGGAAGTTGTTTGAGATATCTCGAGATGAGCTCGAGTTGTTTACATAGTTTATCTGAGAAAGAAAGAAATCGAAATCGAAATCGAAGACGAAACTGAAACGGTGACTTGTGGGTTTAATATTTTTAACTTTTAGGAACGGCAAGTTAATATTTCGCCAGGGATATATTTCCATTGGCTTTTAGGAAACAGAGTGAAACCCGGAAGCGGAGTTTTGGCATTAGTGAAACGTGATTTTGCACAAATTGTTTTTTTACAGGAGTAAATACATTTACCAAATACAAATTTGGAAATGTCAGTTCTTATTCAAATGGAATGCGTTCAGTTCGTGTGTACGTGTGTAGCTCACAAATGGTTTGTTTATGTTATTGCAGCTGTGGCGAGAAGAGATGATAAACATAGGATCTTTTAATCCAATTTAGAGGGTTTTTTTTCTGAGAGCTTATCAGAATTTACTCGTTTTGTGATTTTATTTTTTTACACATGAAACCAAATTCTGTATCACACTATCTGATTTCATTTGTTGGGCACAATATTCCCCCTTTGACTTCGCTGGGTTTTTGTGCTCTTGCACTTCCCAACTTGTTGTAAAAGGTAAGTGTAGTCATTCATAAAAATAAAATGTGTAGTAATATATTATGTAATCTAACTATTTAAATGGCGGGGAGAACAAGCAAAAACCTGGCAGCGTGATCAGGCAAACATGGCATCAATACAGGGAAAAATGTGTCAGCTTGATAGGGACGATGGATAGGGACGATGATAAAGAATTTGAGAAGGAGCAGGAGCTAAAACGTGACAAAGAAACGTTTCTTGATTAATATAAGGAAGTTTATTTATTGGTTAAAATATTTTTTGAAATATTTGAAAAAGAGAGTTCTCAGAAAACAGGAAGACTATTATGTAATCTCGTTGGGAATTCCCCCAGGAAGATCTCGGTCTTGTGATGTATCAGGTGATTTTGCACAATAAACTGGTTTTAGAAGTAAAGTTTGTCAGTAAAGTTTGTCTACTTTTTATAGCGAGGCGCGCGTGGGACAGAGCCCCATACTCATAAAATATGGTCAACCTCTTTTCGTCATGTGGTTGTCACGTGATTGACCGAGCGTAAGTACGTACATACGTATGCGTCTACAGATTGTAAGGGTAGGGTAGGGAAGACTATCAAAAGGGAGGGAGGGGTGTCTCAGGCGTGTCTTGGCAAGTCCATATCTTGTATTTTGGACATTCACAAAATAGTCAATTGACAGCTGTCAAAACAGGATAGCCACTGACCAGTATCATATGACCATATCGCGGGCTCAAGTGTCAACTCATCGAGGCGACGTGATTTAGTCGAAAGCTGTCCGCTGACCAGTTAACAAGGACCTTAAGCAACCAAGACGACGAGCCGAGTGGACGCCGACCGGAAGTGTTCTCTCGAAGCCGGCAACTTCTGGGCATGTCAGTGATGTTGTCCACTTGGCGTTCAGGACGTGACATCTGTTGATTTGCCGTTCTCAGGTGAACGTGAGCATTTAAAGCAATCTTTGTCGTTTCTGTGCCAATTTTACTTTGTTTAATACCAATGTTCGAAAAAAGGAAACCTGTTTTGTACTTTTTGCCGAAGGTTGGGCCGTTGGAGGAAAGATTGCGAGAGATTTTCGGTAAACCGTGAGCCGTGGTTTTCAAGGCTTCGGCGGGAAAGAATCTGTGAGTAAAAGCAGGTAAAAGTAAAATGTTTAAGTTCTCGTTAGATGCTTCTGAACTGTAATCCGTTTCCAGAAGCACTTGATTTAACTGGAAAAGGAAAAGGCGTTGATACTCGGAACCCTTGCATGAAAGAGACCGGCTAAAAATCCCAAGGAAAATCTCTCGAAGCATTTTCATCCACGCCGTTTTTTTTTGTTTATATGTTTTGAGATGTACATGTCTGCCTCTCGAAAGTAAGATTTTCACTATATTTCGTATATAGTGTTTCCGGTAAACTTGATCGACGTGAATAGAGTCGTATATCCGTAGTAGATAAATGAATGGGACTGTACGGAAATCTTGCCTTCGGCAATTAACTCCTGTAAAATGTATAGAACAACAAAACCAGCTCTGTTCTGTTTGATTCGATTCAAGCCTTTTCATTTGATAAACGGTTTACGATTTAAATCCTTCGCAGAGTAGGAAAAACTCTTCCTCGTTAATTGTGTTGTTCTTAACGCTTAACTGAAGAAGCAACCCTCGTATATCTTTAAACGAAGCCATTCAGTGCAGTCTACCTACTTCAGCGATGAGCCGAGACGGGAGCTTGCTTAACATTTGTTTTTCCGGCTTTGGACGACGTTCTAGACCCAGACCTCACTCGTCTTCTCTCGTCGTTGTCCATAAACTCGTCCAGGCTGCTTAAGGTCCCTAATTGTTTTACTAGATCGCAATCAATGTTCAATGTCATATCAATCTCATAGAAAATAAAGTTTTCTATTCTATGAGAAACCTATAGGTTTCTCATTCTATTCTATTCTACTTTTTTAGCTAATGTAGTTCGAGAGCGCGGGAAAACCGATGATGCACACATATTGGGCATCAATGTTGTGATCAATTGACAGCTGTCAAAACGGGGTATCCGCTGACCAGTGTCACTTGACCGTATCGCGGGCTAAGGTGTCGACCCATCGAGGTCAAGTATTTTTTGAAGTTATCCATAGACAAGTTACTAGTTTTCAAATGATCGCAGGCTCAAGTTTAATTTTTTTAAAAATTCATATGAAATATGCCCTTTATTTCTGCCGCACAATTAAAATTTTGATTTCAAACTGACCTCGGACTCGAAAATTCAGCCAGCCATTACAGGCAGGGAAGGCAGTTGCTTTTGACTTTGCTCACTATGATCACGCGTTGGTCACGTTCTTCGTCCAATTTTTATGCTGTGATTGGTCAAAATTTGACAGGTGAGTTCAAGCGGAAAATTTATGTTGCATCTTGAATCTTGTTTACTTTGACAGCTGAAGCTGACAGGGTTTTGTGTCAACTTATGATGTTTTTAACTGTCTTTTTCCATTGGATGTACAAAATGAAATCCAGCTGCTGTTAGGAGTCTTCTGTTATTGATGGCTAGTTGGTTACTGGGATTGTGGTTGAGAAATACATCACTTGTCAAAGTCGGAAATCCGATTTCGGATGGCATCGTTTTCGTTAAAATAATTTTTTACATTGCTTGATGTTTTAGAGGGTTGCAAAGTCTGAAGCGATACTGACCTTACTTGATACCTTTCAGGGCTGCATCTCGAATGGTAAGCCTGAGTATTGTATTTGATGTATGTTTGTTTTTTTATATCTAATTTAATGAAGTCGAGCGCAGTTTATGTGGCTATTTTGATTATGCTCGTTTGTAAGATTTGAGACAAAGGTCTGACCGAGTATCAGGTTTGATATAAGCTTACAGAACTTTAAAAAGCCTTGAGACAAAAGAAAAGCTTTAAGCGATTTTCTTGCCTCGAGTTCATCTTTGAAGAGAGCAAACACCGGGAAGCCGGCTTAAAACATAAACTTAAGCTTTAAGCTTTAAGCTTGAAGACTCAGGATTCTTACTTGTCTTCGTGAATGAAAATTGTTGTCTCTGTATATGTTTCACCGAATTATATTTCTTTTGTTGATTGTTAGTATTCTCTCTTGTAATTTTAATCGCTGTGCCGTTTGTTCTCAGTTAACCTGAGATCAGGCTCAATTTTCGTTTTGGTTTGTAATAACAGTCCGACGGGCAAGGCGAAAAGAAAAGAGAGCCTAATACAAATCTTCTACGAAACGTCTGCCGCCCACTTTTTTGATTGGTTGACATCTGCCGAATCAGCCAACCAAAATTACTTCCGTCGCTTGTATTTCTAGTATGCACGTTCTTCATGCGTGGGAAAAATACAGACTGGCTGACTTAAAAAATAGCTTTTACCTTTTGATTTTTTCAGCTTAAAATAAAGCAGTCAGCACAATCACATGAAACTTCTTGCGAGATTAAAGGAAATCTCAAAGGTTATTTCTGTTGACGTAGAAGATAAAACGTTTTCGAAAAGACGGCGACACGATGTTCTACTAGTATTTTGGTTAGGCGCGCTCGAATTTTAAATACTGAAATTTCTATTTTTCTGTTGCCTTAATATTTTCATGAATCAAAAATATGAATTTTCTGAATTTCCATGGCACATAAAAGGCATATTTTCCTACCATAAGACCATAAAACAATAAAAAAGACAGCAAAATCAATTCTTCTCTCCGCCGACGCGGATCATTCACGAAAAAAACCACGCGAGGAATACGCGCTTTCAACTTCCGGCGTTTCCGACAGCCAATCAGATGTTGTGGCATTGGTCCAACAGCCAATCAGCGTTACGGCAAAAATCTGGCCGTAACGAGTAAAAACGTGAGAGAGTTTGTATCAGGCCCAATTTTAGCGGTAACCGTTAGAGAGAGTGTATGAGAACCGCTAAAATTGGGCCTAATCTCAGGTTAGTTTTCAGTCGTTCAGTGAACATCGCTTGCAGGAGAACTCAAAATGCCGCGCGTATCAAACGCTTTTGAAGATTACACGTCGATAAATTAAACCATAATAAATAACCATAATAAATTCTTTATTATGTTGAAGAGTAACTTTGTTAATGTTCATTCAAACACGACCACAGCTCGCTCTGCAAAAGTGAGAACCGGCTGGCCATATATAGGGGATTTTGGAAATTTTTCTGTACGGATTTCGTGACGTGTTGACACAAAATAACATTGACCGAAACCAGCGTTCCTCAGAAAGACCATAAGCCGTGTCGTTCATACAGCTGAGTCTAAAAGAAAGAATGAAACTTGTTTACGAGATCATTTTGCTCAATATAATTTTAAGAAGTCACCTCCTTTCTGAAAATCTGCAATAAAATTATGCTTCACTCAATGTTAACATTATTTATGTTATGCACGATTACGGAATTTTGCGTGAGATCTTTGGCTCTCGACAACCAAGGGCAAAAATATTGTCAAACGCTTGGCAATAAGCCATTACTGGCAATGAATAGTCTGAGAACGCAAAAGGGTATTGACCAGTACCTATTTTCCCGGGGGAAAACATTCACGCCGTATGTAGTGATAGTTTGTTTCACTCGGTATACCTTGCTTTTTCAATATGTTTGTCTTCTATTTCCGATTTGTTTGCCGTGCGTTATCTTTGATATGTATGTGACAAGGATACATGCTGTGTCGTGACACACCACACAGCAGAAATTCGCGTCGCTTGGCTTGTTTACGTTCGCACGTATTGCGTGAATATTGCAACTTTGAATCAAAACAAGCGTTCTCGATTACTCTATCTGGGCGACGCCCAAATAAAAAGGTAGATTCATCATTCTGAAGCACTCAAAAAAGCTCATGCACGTAAAAAGTGCCTATGTTTTGCTTCCTGCGACTGGGAATCCCAGAACTGGGCATAACGTGATGGACAAAATGACGTATAAATTTGACGTCGTTATGAATCCTACTGCTCAAATTATTGGCAGAATCCATTTTTCCCCCAAAGTGGACAAAAAGCGAAAGTTACTTGTACAGTAAGGCGTCAGTCTGATAAAATTAAGAAGTGAGCTAACATATTAATTAATAATCTTTAACAGTAGCAGTGATATCATGATGACGCCATTTATTACTAAAAAGGACCGAGATCAGCCGCATCTTGGATCCACCATTTTGAATAAATTAAATGTATTTCATTTTGCTCAAAACACGAAAATCGTGTCAGTGTTAGAATTAAAGGAGGCAATAGGAAGCAAAAAACCTTTGAACTTATTATTGAAAAATGATTTATCACTTATTAGTGCCATATCCGTTTTCTTGTATAATTTACGAGTCGGAAGTGGGATCTAACTTGAAGCATACTTCTTTCTTATTAGGAACATGTCCAGGCTTGCCGGCTCCGCAATTGCACAGGGACCAAATGTTGGCCGAATTGATCGATGGTCAGAGTGGAAACCAACGGATAAGAACAAACGTTGGTTATTGCTATCAGGTGCCACAAATCCACCAAAAGGGATTGAAATTTCCAAGCGAAGACCAAGAGATGCCCCTGGAGATGCTAATGGCGCATTTCTTTCTGGTGTCTCTCGTGATTTAGTCAACATGCAGGAATTAATTTCAGCAGAGCTCTATAACATAGTCCAAGATCTTTATCTAACCAAAAGTAAAGCTCTTGAACACATTTCTAAATTGTTTGCAATTTGCAAGGATGAGAAAGCGCATCCTATGTTGTACTATACTGGGCATGGCGAGATTGGTACAGGAAACTGGTGTTTTGCTGATGGGAAAATCAGCATCAACGAAATTTTGAAACAGCTACCTGAAGACTGTTTCTACCCGATGATCTTCAGCGATGCCTGTTACAGTGGCCACTGGGCAAATGTTTGTCTCAACAAGAAAATTGAAGGTTTTGAGTGTCTTTCAGCCTGTCCGGATTACTCAACCGCTTTTGACACGGGAGGTGCGTTAATCATATATAATTCGACCTCTAGAACGTAGCAAAATGCGTTTCAGTTTAATCCTCGGACGTACACGCAAAGTCAATCTCCCACCGTAGCACTCAAGGCTCATTGGTTGGTCCTGAGGTGCTAAAGGGGTATCTTATATGGATAGAAATAAATCGTCTTGGTATACGCGCCGTTCCCAAGTGGATGATCTTTGCAGCTCATTGAAGTTAATGGCTGCAGGGCTTTTTCCTAAATTGTCGTCGAATCCCTCTTCAATGAATCCCGTCCATAGGCGTACGGGCACCTTCGGACTTGGGGTGGCGGTGACCTTTTTTTCCCGAAAAAGTTACACAGTGCCCGAATGCCTGAGTTTTGTGACCGGAATATAAAAGCACTTAAATTATATGAAAACGAAAAACGTTTACAGTTCTCACATTGAGTGAAACGATTCTAATTCCAGAAGTAATTATTTCGAAACCTTACATATTCTATGATCACTATCGACAGTCTACTAAATCTAGTAAAATCAGAAGCTTATCAAAAACAGGTTATTTCTCTTGTGGTGTTGCCCGGAAATGTTAATTATCCTGTCAATACTGTTCACAATGGCTTAATAAGCGCTTCGCTGAGGATGATGTTGCTGGGATGACGGCCAGAATCATGCGACCTTGGAGAACTCTGGGGTCATTTTCTAACGGCTGTTTTCGTGCAATACTTCAATCACTTCTGCAGCTGTTTTTGTTGTTTTCTCTACGTGTGTTGTCTTGAATTGAATGAACAGGCCTTGGTCTGCTTAGGGTAGCTCCTTGTCAAAGAGATCAAAGGAAAGAGGTCAAAGCTATGACTGGTAGGTGAACAACTAAGGGTGATATCACCCCGGGATATCACCAAACGCACAAATGACATCTTCGTCATTTCCACTGAATCGATGCACAATTTCGGCCAGGATCTCATCTAGAGAGGTGAAAAAAGGTGTCGACATGATGGTAGTCCTCTGGTTTCTATAGCGGTGGAGCAGCATTAACATTTTCGTTTTTCTCGAGTATCCGCTTGTAAGCGGGTTGAGGGTTTTCCTCGTGGCACCCTATCCCTCGCGAAATGAGAAATCGGGATCAGAAATCCGGGATTTAATCTTAATACTGATACATTCACATAGTTTCCACACTTTGGTGAAGCTTTCAAAGAAAGATTACAACTCAGGAGGGACACCGCAGGAAAGAGTGAATGATCATGAATGTAATCGACAAGTTTCAATCATCTGTTAACACTTGATTGACACCACACACCTTGATTTGGCATTGTCCATTTAGGACGTTTGGGAATGACAGTCGCTTTTCTTTTTTAGTTTATCTCTACTGCTGTTTCCCGAGTCATGAGCGCTTTGCCCGAAAAATTTCAAACTTTTCGAAACTCGGCCCGTACGCCTATGATCCCGGCGCACCATAAATAACTGCCACAGTCGATCTCTGTCTTCACTTCCCACATTTTTGTGTCTCGGGGTATTTGTAGTTTGTAGCCTTTTAATAACCTTTTTTCAACATCGGTTGAATGGCTATTCTCATTATTATTACTTTCATTATTATTACTATTACTATTATTATTATTACCATTATTATTACCATTGTCATCATCATCATCATTATCATTGTATTTATCATTGTCATTATCAATATCATCATCATGATCATTATCTTTATCATCATCATCATTATTACTAGTATTATTTATATTATTGGTTTTTTATTGACTAATTTTCCCACGCTGTCCTCCGTCGATCACGTTGATTAATTTCCTTTCCAGGGTTTGAATAGAGAAGAAAATGTTTGATATTTCGTTGGATATATACGCCTGGATTTTTGAAAACCGGGTTAAGAAAAATATCAACTCATTCTACTCCTTGGCAATTTAAAACAATAAAACTCATTCAAAGGCCGATTAAAAGCCTTTATCTGACGCCGGGCAGTAAGTTAATGGTCCCTAGAAGCATTCCAACGACTCCAATGACGCAAATTTTAGAACATTTATTCAGTAAACTGACTTCGCGAAGTTTCAAACCGTTGTCATTTCAGTGTAGAAATTTTTAAGTTGAGTGAACTGCAGCGAAAGAGTGCCTGGTTAAGGCTTACATAACAAGTTGTGTTGATAGGAGACAATTCTGTCGTTGTATCATAGGGGTCAGCGGTGTTCGGCGTGGGCCCGTATTGTAAGTGTAAAACGAAGATGGCTGCATGAGCTTTGAGAATAAAGTGTTGTGTTCTCGAAAGCTGTTGTTCCTTTGATGGAAGCTTTCCCCGCCGGTCAACACTTGAATAGTTAGCAAAACACTACTTTTTTTCGCGGTTCCATAAACAACAGGATTCCGCATGGAATAGACAACAAACTGAATGAAACGTAGTGCACAAATTATCACTTTCTTATCTGCAAAAATCGGCCTATGGTTCAATGCCATTAGAGCCCGCTGAAACTAGACCTAGATCCAATTTTCCTGAGTCAAGAGTCGCTTTTCCAAGGTACAATCAGCTAAGCTAAACAACGACGAAACAATATTAATGGCTGGCACAGAATATTTTGACCAAACCGCAGTTCAACCACGCGATCACATACCTGTCAACACCATGCGGAAATCACACAATCGCACTCTTTCGCCGCACCCAACCACGCATAATCTTCTCACGTGGCCACCTTAGAAAAGCGAACAATATCCTACCTTTCTGTCTCAGCCCAGATGAGGGTGATTGATCCGTTTAGCCAAATGAAACGAGAATATAATACGATATTGGACGATGCAGACTCTGCGAATCGTATTTGTCCCATCTCAGAGCTCTACATGATGCTCTCCGGGAAACGGCACCGAAACCAGCTTCAGGCGCGCGCTGATTTCAAATAACTGTCACTTGTGTTAAACAAAGAATTGTGGGTAAGGAAAAAAATAGAGAGGAGAAGGGGGGGGTAAGATAGTAATTCAGTCTACATTCACTTCTACACAAATCCCTAACCACAAAACAAGCAAAAAAAAAAACAACATAAGCAATGCAGTAAACAAGCTATTAGACAGGGGAAGTTGAGAGAAATTACAAAATGTTTGCTAACCCGGTTTTCATAACTCCAGGTATGTATATAAGACTGACTATTTCACTAACTTGGTACACAAGAAAATTATTCATGCATTTTTTTGTCAGTGAATAAAGATTACCTTTTAGAAAAACAGTGAAGTCATCCTCCTTATGGAAAGAAGACAGAGAGAAAAAGAAAATGTAAGGAAAAATCAAATAGTTAATGGTTCTTTAAAATTAACATACAATGTCCGCATATCTGCTCTTTTTTTTTCTTTAGTCGCGGTTAGCTTTGGGGTGTGGGAGGAAGGGATGGTATTCCGCCTTGTACGTCCGAGAGTTAAATATATAACTATTTGATTTAAATGATTTTTCATGCTTTAGTTGATATTTAAATACTTTTTTTAGGTGAAGGTGGGGATTTGACTTTGTTTATGACTGGAAAGAAAGAACGTCCCTCAACAGAGCCAATGTACAGTGGAGGAAATTTGCTCGACTTTCCAATTACCAGTGGATTTGATTTAATTTCTTACTATGAATTTCTGGGCAGTTTTATAAAAAACTCCAAAAGAATTCTCTCTTCTCAGAGTATGCATAATGGATTCCTCTCTGCATATTTTGTAACGTCCAAACTTCACGACCCAAGACCTGCAGTTGATTGGCAGATTTTTACAGACTTTAAAAAGTTTTTTGCTTTTGTAAGGGAACAAAGGAAAAAGTCAATGATGATATATTCCCTTGCTTTTGATAAAGGTAGCGGTTTTGGAGTATTTCTTTTGAAAAAATATGGTACTGACCAAAAAGTTGTAAGAAAGTTATCCCGTATTAAAAAGTACAAGGACATTGGCTATAAAATTACTGCCTGTGCTACCGAGGGTCAGTCATTTTATATCATCATGACAGAAGACGCTGAAAAGTACAAGGGGAAAATACAGACGTGGTTCACCAGCCCAGATTGGAGCCGTGTTGAGACTAAAGTACAGAGGGGCTATCAAGCTGGGAAAGTTATCACAGGTATTTGTTTCTCAAGTACATTGAAAAAGTACTTTGTAGTCATGACACAGACGCAACAGAAGCAGTGCTACGCCTGGCGAGTTGACAACACCATTGAAGAACAGAGAGAAAGAGAAAAATTTGTGCGAGAGAAAGAGAAGGAAGGATTTTATCCTTCCATCATCTTCACCGATCCCAATAACGGCCAAACTTTATTTGTGATGACGAAGGACGAAAGTATAAACTCTTGCATATGTAAAGTTAATTACAAGATGGAAGAATAATTCCTTGCTCATACTGCTCTGAAAATCGTTTTTAAAAGTCCATTTTCAGTATAAATAAGTGAGAAACTAGAGGTTACATATTGGAGGTATAAAGCTCCGTCCCGTGTAGGAAGATCAAGGACTTGCACCGGTAGTAAGTAATATAAGCTATTGTATCTCAGTTGTGATTATGACATGGCGGTCTTCAAGATCGTAAGATTAAGAACGGTGAGAATAACTTGATGACGTATAAAATAAAAAATTGGCCCTTCGGAATTTGAGCCAATTAAAAAAGACATTTCCATTTCAACAAATGAAGTGCGGCAGACCTTGACTCAAGAGTCAAGCTTGGTGACAACAACTCACCTTTCCATGTCAGCATGTACGATAACAGAGATGAATTTTCATTCCGAATCGTCAATTTTCCACATATGGACAGCAACATCCTCACCAAACCGGCCCGGCTAGGGTGTTTACATAATTATCTCAACTGGTGGGATATGCTAGGATTTCCAAGTCAAAGGTGGACTTTGCTGACAGACATAGTAAACAAGGCTTTAAGTTGAGAGAAAACCGGGCAGGAGCAAAAGGTAAAAGCCTCCTGAAAAGATTATCTCCGGTGGTATTTTCAGAAGTTCGTGCGGGGGGGTTTGTTTGAAGATAAAGATTTTCTTGAAATCAGGGCTTTCCACGGCCATGAAATATCTTCGGCCAACTTTTGTCGAACCTACATTAATTAACACGAAGCGAAAAAAAAAATTGTCCTTCTCTTTTTGAAATCTTTAGCCTATAATAAATCGATTGAAATATAATTTTCAATATTTGCCCCAGTTGCATGTTTTTCATGTCGCAATTAATATTACGGCTTAGTCGTTAACTAACCAGACCCAGATTTCTGCCATTTTTACACGTTTTTTTCTCTTTTTTGGAAACAAAGTTACTTTTCCTGAC